GGTAATTACTGAAACAAAAATAAGGAAGCTCTCCAAAGCTAGTTCTGATGTAAGGAGCTATATATGTTTGACATATTTTGTCAACATAAATTATGTATTTCTCTATATTGGGCAGGTTAAAAATGTCTGAAAAGTTAAATAACATGTGTATTATAAAAACCTATTGGATGCCCCTGGCACTGTGCCATGTCATATCCTTTGTCCCCACACCAGCCCTTTGACAGAGGGCACGCTGAGGTTCAGAGACATGAAAGCACAATGAAGGCCACACCTTCAGTGGTGAAAATGGGTTCTAATTTGAGTCTGTCCAGCTTCAGAGGAAGTCTGATAGAACCAATTGCAAAGAGGCAAGGAGAGCTGAGCACTGCAAACAAACTCCAGTTTTTTAAAAAATCAGTGAACAATTGAGAAAAAAGTCTTGGAATAGATAGCCTCATGTAATAATTATTTCTGTTTCAAATTTTCCTGTGATCATTCTGCACACATATGTATACACACATGTAGTAATTTATATACATGTTGCTGATGGCAATCAGTCTTCTACAGCTGTTATAGCTACTGAGTAAATAATGTCTTGCGTAACCTATGATTTTTCTAAATGGAAAGACGTACACTTCAAGACAGTTGAAATTAAGATACAAGTTTTATGTTTAAAATCAGTCTTAAAGCTGCCATCACAAACTTTGTACCGCTTTTATCATCTTTTCTTTAAAAAGTTGTTTTAAAAGCATTAATTTTAAAATTCTTATTCTTGATTTGAGTCAAGGTCCTTCCATTTTGAGTATGTGTTAAGCATTCTGAAAACTTAAGTGTGAAAAGCAAAATGACCCTCCCAGGCAACTCTCTACGTAAAGCTTTGTATTTCAACTCACAGTGATTCTGTCATGGTGCTGTGAAGTTATAATTAATATTAAAAAATATGGAACATCTTGGACAGGAGTAACTGTCCAGGGCTTTATTTTTCCATTTTTCACTAATAAGTCAGTAAATCCAGAAGAACAGAAAGTTAAGAAAAGCAAATGCAAATCAGTGCATCAAAACATATTTACCTAGTGCATGGTTGTAATTTGGGGGGGGGGAAATTTAATAATTTCTAACAACTTTTTGTCATATTTCATTTACTCAACCCCTCAAAGGCACTCGTATCAATCACAATTGTTGTTTTAAATTGAAAACAAATTTAGGAGGCAAAGAAATTTTCTATATGAGAGTTTTAGAATGAATGGGTTGAATGAAAATGGTGATCTCTGCTTCTTAAAATAAGAGATAGATGGTGCAGGACGGACATGTCCCCGAGGCTGCCATCTAAGCAAGGGGAAGAAAAGGAGGGTTAAGTTTGAGTGATGGGGAATGGTGTTCTCATTTACATGCATGATTTAGTCCCCCTTGTAATAGTTAGGCTTGTCCTGTTAGAAATGAATAGGACTCAGAAGTGGAGCACAAGGGGTGAGCCTTCCCTGGTGGCCAGGTCCAGACCTGCTTCTGGGCTCCCGGGAACCTCCCTGACTTTTTTAAGCCACTGCCACCTCCCACTCTGCGTTGAGATTCCTCCACTCAAGATTTCACAGATTCCTCGGACACTTTGATTTTTCTCCTCCTTAAGAGGCAAGGGAAATAAGCAAAACTGGGAAAGTAATCATATTTTTTTTAAGTCCTAGAAAGTTCACTTAGCCATTGGTGCTGACACATTATTTCCTTAGCAGGAACTTAGCAAATCCAGTCAGGCTGGCAAATGCCTGAGCTGCTAGCTTTCCATCCTTATGACTGACAGAGTCGGTCTGATTTCTGTCTGTCCGTCCCAGATTCTGACCAGCTCCCCCATGAGCATCGTATGAGCAGAGGTCTGCTTTGGACAGGATAGTAAAATACACATTACACAATTCAATGCTGCCATTCTGGCTGACTGGACAAAGACCAGTTTACTTGAATGAAAAGTTTCCATTCTAAAGACCATGAAAAAGAAACAAGTGAACCTTTTTAAGCACTTAGGAAGCTTAAGCAACTAAAAACAAGTGTGTTCATAATTTAAATCACTTCAATGAACCGCTGGGGATACATGTGGGGAGACAAAAACTATGAGCAAAAGACCATTGTAAATTTGTAGGAAACAGAGACATAGCCTCTGAGAGAAAAGGAACTACACATGAGGGCTGTTACAGGTAGGGGCCAAACTGAAAAGAGAACTTTTATACCAAACACTTTTTGATCCCACCTTTAGCACCATTTAAACTCTTCCCCTGTGTCCGGTTATTTGTGAACATCTGCCCTGCCTGTCCTTGACAACTTCATTCTAACCTTCGTGGGTTCCTCAGAAAATGTGCCCAAAGGAAGCTTAAATCTTAATTTGTAACGAAACAAGAAAATATTGGCCATGGAATTCATAAAATAAAATTGCAATTCTTTTTTTAAAAATGAGCTCAAAGTAAATTTAATGAGTTAATATTTCATTTGTCAAGCATCTAGGAGTGTATTCAGAAGTGGAAGGTGAGTTTTACAAAGTTAATATGCTACACTCAAACGTTTGTGTCTTAATGGTCTTCTCACCACTTTGGATGTTGCTATTATTGTTAAATTTTAACTTTTCCAGCTGCATAGGAAATGATAGGAGATATATGTTTCTGGGCTCTTAAATGGACATAAAGATCTGGTTAATTTTTTTCTCTCTCAAAATCAAAGCGGTTGTCTTTCCTACACGCAGTGATACAGGATTCCTTTAGAATCCTCATGAACCAGCAGCACGAAAAGTTTTACATACCGAAGAAAACATGCAGTAGAAAACTGCTTTCCCACCTATAATTGCTCCTTTTTATTTGCACAAGATTTTCAAATATTTCTACTGAGTGTAAATTACTCCGTGTAGGTTTTGACTTCATGACAGTAAGAAAGATATACATAAACCAGGTATTTGAAATGTTTTACTTTGGCTGCTAAATTACTCCAGTTTTTACCAAATTTGAAAAGGTCTCTGGATGCATCCAATGGTGTTATATTTTTGGAAAGACCAAGTAGGACTAAGTGACAAACTCATGTCATTTATTAAAGTGCATTTTTGCTTTTATCATGATATTTAATTACTGCAGAGAAAAAGAGGAAAAGTTAGACAATCTTGTATGAGAGAAGCAAGCACTCTGTTACGTAAGCACCCCCATGCCTATATTTTGAAAAAGGCAGTGCAGAATGTCGCAGAGAGACACTTGCATAAGGGAAGGAGGAACGAGGTCAGGGATTGGCCAACTGTGGCCCGATGGCAAATCAGGCCTACTACTGCCTGTTTTTACACTACCCTAGAGTTTATAATGACTTTTACATTTTGAAATGAAAAAAACAATTAAAAATAGAATACTTTGTGACATGTGAAAACTATGGAATTCAAATTTCAGTGTCCATCAATCAGGTGGACCCGGCCCTGCTCATTGGGTTCTAGCAGCTTCTGTCTACAGTGCAGCAACTGCTAGACACCAGAAGGCAACAAAGCCTAAAATATTTACTCTCTGGCTCCTTATTGATAAAAGGATCCCTATGCTGGTGTATCTCTAACGTCCCTTTCACCTCCATTCTCCTAGAAATTTTACGTCCTTAGATAAGCCAGAATCCCACCATTAAAGACAATGTAGCCTGATAATGTGATCCCAAAAGACGTCTCTTTTGTGCTGTAAACATTTTCATGGAATATGTAAAATCGTATCAAAAACTCATGGAGTATACACATAAACTTCCCTGATACTAATTACTTTTAAAAGTAGGCTCTTGGTTCTAGAAAGCAGTAATTATAATGTTGAGCAATTTTATTCTAGGAATAGGTTTAACAGACCATCTAAAATTACTAAGTAGCATGAAAATGAAAAAACAAAAACAACTCCCCTAGGAATTCATACTATAAAATATTTATTAATAAGTAAAATGATTTTCTCCTGCCTTTGGTTATTTAAAAAGTTTGATTATCTTTGTTGATACCAATTGCCAACAATAGTTTTACATTATTCAGTCATGAGATAGATGATAAATAGATGGATGATAGGTAGAGTAGATAAGAGAGATATAGATATTGACATAAATATGTAAAAGACCAACCTTATAATGGTTTAAATACAAATCTTGGTTTTGCTAGCAGTTGAAAATTTACTTGCACACACTTAAACTTATTTCCTATAAGTAAACAATATACAAATTCACTTGAATTTCATAATTCAGAACACTGGTAGTGAATATAGTGCTTGCTGAGGACTGAAAGAGAGAAAAACACAAGAACCAATTTTCTGGGGAAAGAAAGGCAGTATCACTTTGAAAAGCTTGTCTTCATTTAATAGTCCCTATTGCCTGAAAAATAAGCCATTTTGATAACGAGAGTATAAAAAGCCTTATGATTTGCAAAGTAAATTATATTTGTGGTTTAAATTTCATCCTAAGTCTCCAATTATGGCTGAGAAACTATACTCAAACTGTGTAAAGCATTTCTCTGCTAGTTATAGGGAAAACAAGAAGATATTTTATCAGATCCGAGCAGAAATGCCAATCTTCATTTATAAGAACAGTAATTACCTACATTTGGCCCGATGCGGACATGGGGGTCTGAAAACTAAACAGAAAGAAATGCCCAGCCATGCGTAACTGGGAGAAGTAGCAGGTTGGCAGTTTGTAATTTCAACATTAAAAATGTCTAATTACTTCTCAGATGTCACTGTAAAGTTGGGAAATTAGATGATACAATCAAGAAAGGGATGAATGGCTTTATTACTACACCACCCACTTACTTCAAGATTAAAACCCCAGAGTTCTGAAATGTCATTAGTTAGGTAACTATACAATTTCTTTCAGTATCTTTTTAATGTAGAAAATTGCTTTGTAATAAGATCTCTACACAAGGTTAAAAAAAAGCACAAAGTAGACAAAAAGCACAAAAATAGACAATATATATATATCTTTTTACAATGAAATTAAGAACGCCTGTGACATACTGAGATCAATGACTAATCTCACAGAGTTCAAATTGGATTTCCTTTTACAATAGTGTTAACACCTTCCCCTAAACCTTGGATGCTTATATAAAACTTACCCTGGGAAAAAGGAAAGAACAGGTATTCTGACCTGGTAAAGTAAAAAACAGAAAAGAAATAATAATAACAACATAATAAAAACCCTTAATCTATGTGTTTACAAAATTCTTTTGACAGCTATACCTCAAGGGCACTTAAGGGCTCAAGCGTATGTCATACAACCATCAGTAACAACACAGGCATCTCCAGGTGACGCCTTTTGCCACCATAATTCAGTCATGCACTGGGATGAAGCATATCCAGAAAAGCTATTCAGAAAGAGATGCTTTCACACAGTTTGGGGCAAGTGAAGCTATCCGAAAGAATTGTGCCGTGAACACCAGCGTCGTGCATGGACCTCCACTTTGAGAATCCTTGCCAAGTCCACAGCTTCCTTGTTGTCCTTGGTCTCATAATGGAACCCGGCTGGCACCTTGAGTCACACAGTCACAGCTGGGTACATCTTCTGTTCACTGTTAGTGTGAGGGAAAGGGGCCTGAATCTGCCTGTAGCCTGTCTGCAGGCCGTCCATGAAAGGTGGCACGGGAGTCATGGGCACTGAGTCGTGTTGTACCGTGTAGCCCATATAGGGGGGGTGCAGATACTGCCCTTGATGGGGCACAATTTGGGTGGCTTGCTGACAGTTCAGCACAGAGAAATTCGTGGGCATGTTGACATACACATTGTTCATGGTCCCCTCGGGCAAGCAACAGTTGGTCTGTGACCTTGTTGGGGGCGCCCGGGCTCCAGAGTTGGCGCTGGAGCTGGAGCTGGCAGCTGTGCTGGACTGGCGGGAGGATGACCCCCGGGAAGTGCTGGCGCTGGGGATCATGGGGATGGTCTCCATCAAGCGGTTCCCCCCTGGGGCCCGGCTCTGCTGGGGCTCCTGCTTAGGCCGGAGACATCTGCAGCAACAGGCAGCCACGAGTGACCCCAAGATGATGAAGGCGACAAACACGGACCCAACGATGAGGAATGGCACGTAGATGGGGACTGGAGGACAAAAGCATAACATATGATTCACTATAAATATGCAGTAAAAATCAGTGCTTGGCAGCAGAGAACATAAACGGGCAGCAGTGACACCGAGGCTGAAGGACCCCAGCTTGGCCAATTTGTGCGCTCATTAGCAGCCCATAGTATGTACTGTCCTTTACTGAGTGCTCAGCAAAGGTGGGAAGGCCCACCAGACATGGTGGGGCAGCACCCCCAAAGCAAAACTGGTAACATTTACAGGTAGACTCACCAACTGCACTGATTGAGGCAAATATCCAACTTAGCAAAAATGTGTGTTTTATATTTTAAGACTGTTCTAAAATCCTTACAATTACTGAACTGCCCCAGCTTAAGTCAGATACTTGTAGGATCTGTATAGAAATGAGCTGAAATTATTTAAAAGGCTTTTTTCCCTGTAGCAAGTTATTTGCATTCCTTATAAACTCCTTTTACCATATCTTCTTGTAGCAATTTTTTATTTCCAGAGGCAAATAAATCAAAAACTTAGGTCAGACTCTAGCCATGACTCTTTCCAATAGGAGGCTGTAAGACACAGAGGTCAAAGAAGGGTAAGGAAAACTCCACGCACTTGCTTAGCTGAGTCTGGTAGGGATTGAGGATATGGGCCTAGCATGGGTGAGTGGATGGTGGAAAAAGGAAGTGACTTGCGTGCAGGGAAGTTATTCTAGGCAGCGGGTCAGCATGGAACAAGGAACTGAGGAGAACGAGTGTTGGGAGCAACAAGACATTTGTTCCAGGAAGGAGAGAGGCCCACAGTGAGCCGGGAAGCGCGAGGCAGGCCCAGCAGGGCTGAGGTGGAACAGTCACTCTAGAGTTCAGACACTGGATCCTGTGTGAGGAACTACAGGGAAAGCCTACAGAGCAAAAAGCAATGGGCACCATATTTAACAAGTGAGGTTTATTCTGAAAAATAAAACCATAAAAGATAAAAATAACAACTTTACTAAAATTGGTAGTGAACTCCAATTTTACATTATTTTACTTTAAAAACTCTTGCAGGAGCCATGGGGATAGCAGCACTGGGCTTCCAGAAGCTGGATAAGATACACCGGCCGATAGAGGCAGAGAATCGGGAAGGAGGGGCCTGCAGAATGCCTGGGAGCACCTCCATGGGATTCCCCCAGAGGCTACCGAGAACCTACTTTTTGATGTGTTCCTGAGCATGTCCTTAACTAGTTCATGGAAAACACATCAGGACAGGGACTAGGTCTTGCTGGTCTTAGCAGAGCTGTGCCCACTCAGTGGTACAGGGCAGAACCTCTGAGGGAGCCAGCTCTTCTACAGCTCGGAGGTAGCCAATTGACTGGAGTCAGTGCTTTTAGAATACAGTAGCACATGAAGTCATGGAAAAATAATGCCTTATAAGTAAAACATACTTTATAAGTATTTAACCAAAGCTGACATTTAAAGATTTCCTTAATCATCAGTGCTGAACAGAGTGAATACTATTACTTATACACAGTGTCCCTTTCGCAGGTAGAAACACTTGCTCCAGTTTACAGCACAGCTGGCCTTCTGACAGTAGGACTGTTCTAATTACACAGTAACTTCAGGCTAAATACAGCATGCTGCAGCGCTGGATGGAGGCTTTTCCACCTGCATGCTAAAATAATTCATTCTCTAAATTAGGATACCAGTCCTAAATATGCCATCAAGAGATAAACAAATAATAGTTTAAAAATTCCCAAACATTACAGCAAAAACTACTGAAAGCAGCCCTAGTCCACATAAAGAATTGTGGGGAGAAATAACTGCCTCTTTCCAGCATTTTTAATTGGAAGCCTAAGTAACTACCCAGGGGTAAAGAATGTAGCGTTCCTCTAAGCCCTTGGCACTGCTTAATTAGGTATCTTGTCCTTCTTGACTGCAGAAGAGAAGTGAGAGAACAGAATTTTCAGGGGAAAAAAGGACTTAAAAGTAGGGTGAAGGAGGCGCCCGTGCACATCACATGGTGTCATGAGAAGTCTGCTGCCTACTGATCAGTCCAAAGCCAACCTAACTTTTTAGAGGCCATTAACAAGCCCAATTTAGCTGACACGTGGAAGTGGCAGTTCTGTCTCTGGCTCATTTCTCAAGACTTTTTCCACGGCCACACACCCTGCAATGCTGAGCTTGCATTTTAAGATGGCACCTTTTCTGGAATTACCCTCAGTTCTCCTCCCTTCAGACTGAAGGCAGTGGGACAACAGGAGTAGCCTGCTGATAAAATGCTTGACTACAAAGGCACCAGCACTGAAAAGAGCTGCCTCTCACCAGGAGGAGCCAGCTCCATAGACACAGATGCCACCCAGTGCCAAGCTCAGGCAGCTCAAAGCCTGGGCTCCTTGTGTGGTGAATAGTCCTGTCCTTAACACAACCAGCTGCAGAAAAAAGAGGAGACGCCCCCTCTGTGACATGCTTGCCATTTGACCTCTACCTGCCATACTGACGTAAATCCTCCCTCCCAAACACACATATATTGATGTAGACCCTGGAGGAAGGCTGTCTTCAAGCTTAGTGAAGAGGGAAGTGGAACCTATCAAATTCTTGCACAGACTTGTTTATTTTTCCAACTCTAGCTTTTGTAATTTGAAAATATAACTTAAAAAATCAAAGCCATAAACTGCTACATTGGGCATGGCTCTGATGTCACACCTAGCAAGCCCCACATGGTGACAACTGTCCAGAAACCAGAGAGGCCCAGGCCCAGCGGGGGAGAGGTGCAGCAAACATCATTAGAAAGGGTTAGAATCCCGCGGGGTCTAGTAAACTGCCTCGCCCTCAGGAAGCCCTGAGGAGCTGCCTTCCCTTCTGAGGAGCCTTCACAGAAGTGCCCCTGCCAGCCCTCACGGTTTCCTCGGGTACCTCAGGACATGAACCCTTAGTAGAAGTTACACCGCCTCTGGAGATAGGACACATGGAGCTCTTCCTTGGACTGGAAAATTAAGGAGCTGTCTGTGGCCCACCCTACCTTAGACATGTGGTTTTCTTGGGAAAATCCAAGCCAAACCATTCTTTAGCTGACAGGTGGGGAAACTGAGACCCAGGACGGTGAGCTGGTGCCCCACGTCGCACACAATTATGGCTGGGCCAGAATGCAGGCACCACCTCCTGGTCCAAGACACTTTTCCGAAACCTCAGTGCTCCTAACTCCTTTCCCCAGGTCCATGCGGGCCAGGCGAAGCCAACCTTCCTCCCTGCTCGCGCTGGGCCTGCCCTCCTACCTGCCGAGCCGTCTGAGCCGTCTTTGTCCGCCCGGCCAGGCTCGCTGGCGCCCTGCTGGCGGTCGTTGTCGCAGCCGCCCTGGTCAAGGCGCGCCTCAGCGCTGGAGCAGCAGTAGCGCAACGTGCAGCTGCCGCAGCAGATGGTGGCGTCGCCACCGTCGAAGCGCTCGGGGCACTGGAAGCCGATGCGCCAGACGCCCTGCGCGTCCAGCCAGCCGTGGCAGTACTCGCCGCTGGCCAGCGCCCCCACAGCCAGCAGAGCGGCCAGCAGCAGCTGCAGGAGTGAAGTGGCGATCCCGGAGGAGGAGGCGGACGGGCGGCGTCCGCCCCACATGGCACCCCGGGGCGCGGGCGGCGCGTCTCCAGAGGGCGCAGTCCAGGCTCCGGGGTAAATCGTGGCCTCAGAGACCTGGGTCCCAGAGGTGCTCAAGCCGGGACCTTTTTACTGAGTGTTTCTTCCGTGGCGCTTTCCACGCGGGCTTCTGCCCTCTGCCTTGACGTCCGGAAGCCGACGACGCCGGGTTGCCGGGTCAGGAGGCTCCTAAGCCATCCCCTCCCTCTGCCATGGGGGATAGCCAGGTCCGGAAGGGGCAGACTTGAGAGTGTGCCGGCTCTGATGGAACTCGTCGAGTGCACACTCAGAGGGCCTCCGCGGCTGCCTTGCCGAATCCCCTAGACGCTTCACCCTTGAGAGGACCCTCCCCGTGCATCCCCGAGGGGACGATCCCTCCAGTCGGATTACCGCTGAGAACGCCCCTGTGGACACGGAGCCAGGGCACTGCCACAGGGTTTGAGTCTCGGGATCCCGCGCACCAATCAGAGAATGTCTCCCTTCTTTTATTCCTCTCTCGGGTGGCGAGAAGGGGCCAAGAAGGCGGGCAGAGCGCACAGGACTCCCGGCAGCAAGTGCAGCAACCGACCGCGCTCAGCCTGCTCAGCTCCTAACTCGGTCCGCATGGCTCCGGCCGCGTCGCCCCGGCAGTCCACCGGGGTGCAGCCCCAACGCCCCCCGCCGCGGGACTGGCGGCCAATCCTCCCAGCTCCCGCAGCCGTCCAGGACGCGGGCGAGGGGCCGCCGCGCCGCCGCCGCAGTCCCGGGAGCCTGTCGGGCTGGCGGCAGCTGCGCGCGGTCCAAGCAAGCGGCTCGCGCCAGCTCCCCCCTCCTCCTCCTCCTCTCCGGCTGCCGCTCGCTCCCACGGGCGCTGGGCCTGTCCGCCTCTCTCCCTCTCCCTGGCCAGTGCTCCCTCGGGAGGTGCGCACCGATGGACACCTCCCTCAGAAGTTTCAGTCCTCCAGGCTACAGAAGAAGCGGAGCCCGGTAGCCGCCCGCACACTCGCGCTACGCCCGGCACCAAGCCAGCTCCGACTCCGCTCGCCGAGCCGCTGCGCTGCGCTCTTATGAGGGGCCGGCGGCTGCTCGGGGGCGCATGCGTGCTGCGCGGGCTTCCCTCCCTCCCCTGGACGTCCCGGGACGCCCGGGCCCTTCACCTTCGGACTGGAGTGGTAGAGAACCGTGTGGACGCCACAGTGGGCTGCAGGCTAGAAGAGGCGCGACAGGAAACATAACTTAAGCAACCTAGGCCTTTCTACCACAATAACAACAATAATGATAATAAAAGCGAACTAAACTTGCTTACTGAAGATCTCTGGCATTCAAAATTCGGTTTGATTCTCAAAACTTCCCCAAGATAGGTTATAATTATTTTACATTTTGCAGACAATGAGGTTGCCCCTCAGATTAACTGTCTCTCTCCGCTTCAGAAGCTGATGACCTGATTGCAGAACTGTGATGTTGGTGGCAGGGTTCACATTCCTAGGGCTTCCTCTGTTGTGCTCCAGGCTTCTCCAAGGTGGAATGAAGAGAGTTTGAGAAAAACATTACAGATTGGCCACTGTCTGCATGATTTGTGTCGCTTTTTTTCTTTATTTGGGCGTGGCGATTTATTGGATTCAAGCAGAGAGGCCTGTCTCTTAGTGGTGTAGACAGCTGCAGTTAGAAGAAAACAAGGTTCAGACAGACCAGACATTCGGCTTTGATGGAAGAGAAATTAATAGCTTCTCTCTTGCGGAAGCTGAAACAACAGGTGCTGATGCTATTAAAGCAGCAGTGATTATTTTTAAAGGCACTGGTGACCCATCCGACGCGGTCTGGAAATCCGCTAACCTGAAATCTAGGCTCAGCCCTACCAGTAAAGAATCATTGCATTTTGCTGCCCTCAGTTTCATCTTTACAGGGAAACATAGGATGTGATGACTACTATGGTCCCTTCCAAGACCGTGACTATAGAACACAAGGCAGTTGTATTCATATCAAAGACACTGCTGTTCAAACAACTACTGGACGCCTGTGTATGCCTGGGAAATGTGCAGGCTCACACATGGTTGACATCCTTCCACACCCCCCAATCAAATCAAATCTAGAGGAAAAAACTACTCTACTCCCCCCCCTCCCCCTCAAACACCCTAGTCTTCTCACTAAACTGTTCTCCAAGCCTTGCACTTTATTTCCTTGCAGATAATTTTAGTTATTTTAAGTGCACCAACCACCAACTTATTGTATCCTGCTAAGTAAAACATTCAATATGAAATTATTCATTCAACAAATACATGCTAAGTGCTTACAGTATACTCTGTACTGGGTACTGGGGATCCATCGAAAAGCTAGACATCATGGTTATTTCCTGCACACAGAGTTTAAGGTCTCTGGAATAAAACAGATACTGGAAAGAATGACAAAGAACTGAATGAGCATGTATAGTACAAATATGATAAAAAGCTATGATTGGTGATATACAAAGTCAAGTTTAGTACATAACCTGGGGGTGGGGAGGGAGGAGAAGTCAGAAAAATGAGCAGAGGAATGGCACTTAAAATTAGACAACAGGAAGCTGAGGGAAGAATCAGTTTTTTAGATTTTTTTCTTAGAAGGTACTAATAGCTAGTGTTCTTTGAGGGCTTACTCTCTGCCAAGCACTGAGCTGAGCCTTACATGCTTAGTCTCATTTAATCCTCACAATCCTATGAAGAAGACATAATTGTTATCTTCCATAACTTGCCTAATTGATGCAGAAAAAAGTGTCAGTGTGCCGGACTGCACCCTGCTCTAGCTGACTAATGCCAGCCCACCACACTGCTAGTCACCACTGTCTTCACTACAGTAAGCCAAGGATTAACTGCGAATTCTATACCAGTCACCAGATGGTTAGGTATCTTTATCTTCCTATGGCACCATAAATTGATTTGGATGATATTCGGAGGGTTAATACTTTACTTTTTTTTTCTTTTGGAAAAAGATTAATGCAAGAGAATTGTGCACTTCTTCAGGCAGTACCTATACCATACTTTCCTTCCACCGTTCATTTACCGTGTTCTCCAAAACACCCACAATTTGTTAGTTTATTTATGAAGAAAGGAATGTTCAATGTTTTCATTTTGAAGTTGATTTAGTGACCTTGTAGTGCCACAGTTTATACACAAAGAGTTCTTCCCAAATAGTTCATGATTTAGTCTACAACTGGTAAATTTGGAAGTACAAAGCTTTGGGCAAATTCATCCTCTTTTTAATTGCTATGTTCCTGTATTCCTTAAAGGTTAAGGAGAGGCCTGTTTCATAGTTACCTTAAGTGGTGGGGGATGGTCTTCAGTACTGGAGATCCTTCATATGCCTCTGTCCTTCCTTCTGACTGTTTTTACTTTTTCTTTGTATATCTAGTATGTTGTACTACAATTTTTATAAAATAATTGTTGAATACTTATTGAGCTTATCTGTGGGAGGTACTAAGGGTAGTTGTTAAGATAGTCTTGTTCCTTCATTAAGAAATAAAAAGAAACCCCCTCACTATCCTTAACAGACAGCACAAACTATTTTATTAGTCTTTTCTGAGAAACTGTATCTAGTAATCATAACATATAGGTAGTAGTAATAATTTATTACAATCAAAACTAAATGCCAGGCAATCTGCCAAAATATATCTAAACACCTATGAAAGAATTCTATTCAAAAATTCTATTTTAAAAGTTGAATTCTAGGGACATTAAATGCAGAAGTATATTTTCAGGTTATTTCACCTTTCAGTCTGTGCCTATATATTAATAAAATACAATTGACTTAAAAACAAACTTCTGACATGTCTTCAATAGTACAAATAGAGAGTCATATAAGTAAAGAAATGATTACTTATCACTTTGCTAGCTGAAGTTGATACAAATCATATGGAGGTAATCATATGTCATTTTGCTGGCAGTTGTAAAAGCTGCGAGATCTAGTGTTTTTCTGCAAGTTTTAGGAAGAACAGAAGGTTTTTACCATCTGTACACCAGTCAGCAATCTGTTTAGGGAGAATGGCTTTCACTGGGTTCATTCAGTTTTTTCTTCCTCTTTTATAAATATGAGTAGTATTGAAAGTTCACATTTGGTTTACCAGAAGTTCTTTTAAGTTAAAGTATTTGTATTAACAAATAAGACCTCAAGGCCAACAAATATGTTAATTTACATTTCTTTCCATTTTGTCTTGTGGTTACCTAACCTCATCTGAAAATAAAAAGGGTCATAAAATTTTGAACATTTAACATTAATGTTCAAGAATTTGTCTTTAACAAGGAAAAAATTCTTCCTTGTTGCTTTTAAATGTTTCATCTTTCATCCTTCTATTTTTCTTTGTGTTTAATATACCAACTTTCAGAAAAGTAATTTCCATATTTTAAATTCTTTCTTCTCATCTACCATTAACTGTAAACATTAGGCATACTTCTCTCCCTCCTCCTTCACTTCTAACCCTGGAGTCTACAGAACCATTTTTATGTTGACTTTGATGTTTACTATTGTTATATTTTCTTTTTGGAGAAATGGGATTAAAACCCATCCAGGACTTCTTTCAATAATACCAGAATATCTAAAAGAGTGGCATAAACAAAATCAATATGACATCAAAGAGCCTACAGCAAATACTTACGAATTGTGTATTTGATGAGTCTTGTATCGAGAGGATGTATGCAACTTTACAACAAAAAGACAAAAACCACCCAACTGGAAAACCAGACAAAAGACTTGAATAGACATTTCTACAAAGATACAACAACCAATAAGCACATAAGAGGATACTCAACATCATTAGTCATTAGGGAAATGCAAATCAAAATCACAGTGAGATACCACTTCATACCTAGTAGGATGGCTATAAGAAGAAGAAGAAGAAATTAGCAAGTGCTGGTGAACAAGTAGAGAAACTGGAACCCTTGCGTATTGCTAGTGGGAATATAAGATGATGCAAACACTGTGCAAAACATTTTGACAGTTCCTTTAAAAATTAGACACAGAATTACTGTATGACCCTGCAATTCCACTCCTTGGTATATATACCCAAAAGAGTTGAAAATATGTATATACAAAGATTTGTACTCAGATGTTCACAGGAGCACTATTCATAAAAGCCAAAAAAGTAGAAACAACTCAGTGTCCATCAGCTGATGAACAGATAAACAAAATTTGGTTTATTCATACAATAGAATATTACTTGACCATAAAAAAGAATGAAATACTGATACACACCACAACATAGATGAACCCTGAAAACACTGTGCTAAGTGAAAGATGCCCAAAACAAAAAGCACACGTTGTATGATTCCACTTGTATGAACTACCCAGAATAGGCAAATCCATAGAGACAGAAAGTAGATTAGCAAATTGCCCAGGACTGGGGAAGGAAAGAAGGGAAGGTGAATGCTTAATGGGTACAGGTTTTCTTTTGGGTTGAAAATGTTCTGGAAAGGAAAGGAAAAGGAAGGGAAGGGGAGGGGAGGGGAGCGGAGGGGAGGGGAGGGGAGAGGAGGAAAAAAAAAAGAAAAGAAAAATGTTCTGGAACTAGATAACATTGTGAATGCAGTAAATGTCACATGGTAAATTTTGCATTATGTGTATTCTACCACAATTAAAAAGAATCTAGAGCTAAA